ATTAGAGATTGGAGGATGACGAACATTAACTTGACCATCGGGCGAAGCACCGCAAAACGACTCAAAAAGTTGCTTCTTAGAAGAAGAAGCACGAACGGTAGGACCATTCTCAACCAATAAAAAATCATTGAAATCTTTCAAAGCTACCATCTTTCAAAGCTGCATTCAACTTGGTAACATGATCAACACTCCGTGAAGCCATGGTGACGCACGAAAAAAATTCTGCCCAAGCTTCACCAATTGCGACATCTACCTCCGAATCGCCCCCACGTTGAACACCCAACAACTGTCAAACACAAGCCCCCCTTGTCCAACGTGCGATCACATACCGAGAAGGGATAGAAACAACCTTACAATCCTTGAAAACCCAGAAAATATGACGACAAAGTAACCCAACCCGTGAAAACATGTTACACGTGCACTCGACACCAGCATTACCAGAGTCAAAACTCACGGTGCGCACCGGGCCATCATCATCTTGAACCTCATACCGGGTTACCAGCCCTTCAACATTTGAACGCACAGAACGACACGAAAAAGATCCTGCAATAACCTCGGCTTGCACATCGTAAAAAACATTAATAGTATACACCATAGCCGCATGCTTCTCAATCAACAACGGAGTCTGGCACAAAGGAAAATGGCCCTCACACTCGGCATTTAGTTTGGCCTATGCCAAACGTTGAGCATCAATAGTCCCTTCAAAATTGTTAAACAACTTAGACAAACTAGCATGTTGGTTTGTGCAACTACCAAACACACTATTTGCGGCTTCGGACCTAGATGTTGTGCGAAGCAAACCACCCATGAAAAGATCATTAAAAAATGCAGGGATCCAAAACGATCTCAAATCATACATAAGACAAAACCACCGGTGATCACCAAGGCTATACTTTTCCATTACATCCTACCAACCCCGCTCAAACTCCTCCACGGACAACGTCTCACACCAAACAACATCATTCAAAGCACGCCAAAATTCCTCGTCTTTAGATAGAACATTACCAACCTTCTCACCAACCTTTGACATTATATGCCACATACAAAACCTATGCCGCGTAGTAACAAACACCTGTGGGACTGCAATCCGCATCGAAGGATCTTGATCGGTGATAGTACAACTAGGCACACAACCCATTGCAGTATTAAATTGTTGGAGAAGCCACACATACGAGTCCACATCTTCACGGGAAATCAAACCCATTGCAAATGTGACGCCTCTCTTGAGATTATCAACACCCGTAAACAGAACCAATACCATACCATACCTGCAAGACATAACACCAAACACAAAAAAAAAAAACATGGTTGTTAGCATACTGCATGCACAAATAAAAACGAACGAACTGCACAGACCAGTAATTTAAAATTAAAAAAAAAACACTAAAAGGAAGTTAATTTTACGACCACGTGGCTTACCTATTAGTCCCATAAGTCGCATCAAACGACACCACATCCCCAAAAGCTGAAAAATTTTCGTTCGCAATAGGGTCAGCCCAAAAAGCCCTACATAACTGATCCTGAGAATCTACATCGTATTTAAAGACATACTCCGGGCAATCCTCTACCTTCTTAGCATATTTTTTCACAACAATATGAGCATCAGAAGTCCCAATAAATGCCATGAAATCGCGCTTCAGATTTTTAAAATCGACACATGTCGCACCAACATTAGAATACGACCCAGCAAACTCCCTAGCCAAACGAAACGACCTATTAGGCCCAACGTTGGCCCTAGCACACTTAAGCACAAAAATCTGATGTTGCACATCTATGGAACGATTACCCCGCAAGAAAGGCTTAGCCACGTCCGAGCACAAACAATGATTATGCCGGTGCTCAATGAAATGAACCCCAAAAACCCCCATCGTCATCCATCTTCAACACCAACCTCGCTCGGCAACCCACCCTATTTGAAACACGCCGGCGCTTCGGAGCCACGGGTGCTTGATCCAACGCAGCATCCACAACAACGGGGCTGTGCACCCCCTGCTTGAACCCCTCACGCGAACAAACCAACAAGTCTTTCACAACAACACCCTCCCTATTCTTATGCACCGAACTACATCGTACATCAAAACCAACGAGAGACGCATACTGACGATAAAAATCAATACCGTGAGCGAGAGAAGGAAAAGTCTGCCCCTCAAAAGGCCTAACCGCCTCATCACACAACGGCGTCCAAAACTTAGTTCCATCGGGGGACACGTCCATAACACACCCTTGCAGCGATTCAGAACGTAATGCACAAACATCAAACAGAAATACACACACAAACACAGAACCAGTAAAATAAAATCGACATGCACAACATTTAAAAAAAAAAAAACACGCTGCTTGCACATACACATAACAAAACATGCACGTTACGAACTAAACACCTATCCCCCCCCCCCCCCCCCCCCCCCCAAAAAAAAAACAAAAGCTTTAAAATCAATATAAAACGCAAAATACCATGTACACCGAAATGCACAAAACTACCAACATAATATCCAATAAAGTGAACAAAAGCCCAGCACACACAAGTCATGTTGTCAACACAACAACGAAATGCATAAATTAGCAATACAATATATAACGGAAAACACATGCCAACGGCACTTAAGGTTAAACAAAAATCACAATTACAACTACACAAAAACCAAGCCAAATAAACAATCACTAAACCAAGAACCACGACTGAAATATAAAAACTAAAACTCCATAAACAACATCAAACCACACCACCTAAAACACATGTCATACAAATGAACACATACTCATACACAAACCAAATACCAACAGATGCTCAATAAAAATATACAAGCAACAAACAAAAACAC